TCAAGCTATCCTAAGCCTCCAGGATTTATATCACAAGAGGATCGCAAAGTCCATTTACTGAACTTCCTTAAGGCATATATGCCAGGTACTTTGAGTAATCCCTCGGAGTTGGACAAAGTGGAATATCTATATTTTGATGGCTTGTTTGCCAGGGCGGTGGCTACATTCCATGATCGGAGATTGGCAAAACTGATATATAAACACAGAGAACACCTAAAGACAAGTGGTGTAAAAATATCAAGATACTTTAAAAATGTGGCCTCTCCTATCCCACTATTCCCCAGTCCTGCAACCTCGACTGCAGCACCTCGTCAAAAGGCTGAACACCACACTTTAATTGATATAAAAGCCACTGAGGACTCGCCTAATCACCACCCAGAGTTACTTACTAATGATCTTCAAAGACCAGACTCTCCTGGGACTTTATATGAGGCGAGCCAAGGTAACGGGTTCGAAAGTTTTGAAAATAACTTAATTAACTCCTACTGCGCTCTCCCCCAAGAAACTCAGAACAAAATACTCTATAGACTGAATAACCTTCGTTCTTGTCTGACAAATCTGACGAAGGACCAACAGGGACTACACAACCAAAACATATCTGATTATGTCCCAGATCAGGCTTCATGCTTCTATCGTCACGAGCTGGATTTATGGGTCGTGAAACCCTCCGTCACCCCAGGCCAATCAGTTGTTGCGGAGATGAATCCATCCTCTCAGATCTTGGAGCCGAAACGCCCCTCCTATAACCCAGCTCGCATACAACCCATCTCAGAGGCAAACCTGGTCAATACATTAGCATGGGATAAAATGAGAGAATTAAATGAGACTGAATTGGGCTCCCCAAATAAAGTCCCCAGCATGGGTGCGCCAGGTTGCAACCCTAGCATTCCACCCTCCTCAAATGTGAGCATACTGAATAAATCTTTAAACATCATTGAATTAGCATCTGAACTATCTGAACCCGCTGAAAGGGCTAATAGTAAGAACCAGAGGAACTTGGTGTGACATCCGGAATGCACCACGCATACCTCACTAGCACCCTTAAATCAAAGATCTCTCCAAACTCTTTCTATTATGTCCTGGAATGTAGCTGGACTCTCATGTAAATTAGCTGATTCTGATTTTATAAATTTTCTTGGGTCTTATGACATAATACTTCTGCAGGAAACCTGGGCTCTTAAACCTTTAAATATTCCTAATTTTATTACTTATAATTTACCCGCTACTAAAATGTCAACAAAAGGTCGCCCTAAAGCTGGTTTGATCTGTGGTATCAAACAGTCTTCTAACCTTAAAATTAATTATATCAGAAATATTGGACAGTATGCTCAACTGTTATCATTTTCCATTGTTTACCGGGAAATTCTTCTTTTAAATATATATTTTCCTCCCCTAGAGTTGGAAATTAGTCCAGGTTATGGTTGGAATATAGTCTCTGAAGAGTTGTATCTAATACGTAGTAAATCCCCAAATATCCCCCTGATTGTAACGGGAGACACCAATGCTCGAATTGGATCAGATAATACAGCTCTCTATAAACACTATGTCTCAAATCTAGCTGAAGATGCCCCACTTCCATTGAGAATAGGGAGGAATTCAAAGGACATCATTATTAATAAAGCAGGAGGAAAACTCTTACAATTGGTTTTAGAATTTAACCTCTCATTTTTGAATGGCTCAATGTGGCCGGATATTCCAGGAAATTTTACCTTCAGCTCCAAAAGGGGTAGGAGCGTTATCGATTATTCTCTAGTTTCCGTTGAAATGTTAAATGAAGTTGCCTCTTTTACAGTTGTACCTCGCTCTGAAAGTGACCACTTCCCAATAGTTTTAGAGATGTACAGGAATCCTAGAAATAATGGTATTAGTCCTCTTATTAGTATTGATAAGACTATCTATGCCAAAAGAATTTATATAAGTGATAAAAATAGGGAGGATCTATTAGCAGTATTTGAAAATAACCCAGTTATTCTCGAACCTGTGGCTAACCAAAATTTGATGCCCTTGGAGGATAATGATTGTTATTATAAGAGTATCCAGGAATTATTTTCTTCTTTTTTAGACCCTCAGTTCAGCAACAAACCTTCAAATAAGTATAACTGGTTTGATAAAGGTTGTATTAACTATAAGAAAGAACTTAGAACTTGTCTAAAAGAAGCCTATATTACCAACTCTCAAGGTCTCTGGAAGACTTATTTTGAAATGAAAAAGGCTTTTAAGAACATGCTCCTGGAAAAAAAATCTGAGTTTGCACTAGCCAAATGGTCTAAAATTGTTACTGCATTAGAAATTAAAGATACCAAAACCTTTTGGTCACTTCTCTCAATAAAAGATATCACTGATTTCCCTAATATAAGCGATGAGGCTTGGATTTCACATTTTACTGCTGTTTTTTATGATCACCAAGTTTGTAAAAAGGAAAATTTTAAATCTTCTCTGGCAAAAACCACACAATTTCAAATTACTGTTGAGGAGATGAAAAGGATAATCTTTTCGTTTAAGCAAGGGAAATCACCTGGTATGGATGGAATTCCAATAGACCTGTTGAGATTAGATGTAGAATGGTGGGCCAATAAACTTGTACCGCTTTTTAATTCTATCTATCACTCAGCCCTTGTACCTAAGTCGTGGAACAACTCAATAGTGGTACCGATCTTTAAAAAAGGTGATAGGAATTGCCAAGAGAACTACAGGCCTATAAGTTTGTTACCATGCATAAGTAAAATCTATGCCAAATCTCTGCTTATTAAATTGGAAGAATGGATGCTGACAAAAGGTCTACCTGGTAAAGAGCAGGCTGGTTTTAAGGCAGGCTCGTCAACTCTTGACCAGTGTCTAGTGTTAAGTCATCTTGTGGATAAATATGTCATGAGAAATAAACGAAAACTCTTTGTGGCATTTGTGGATTTAAAAAGTGCCTTTGATTCGGTCGACCGCAATAAACTATGGACTAAACTAGAACACCTTGGTATCGACCCATATCTACTTACACTGATTCAAAGTCTACATTCTAATAACCAAATATATGTTAAAGTATCAAAAGATGGTAGACTTGCAGGTCCTATTCTGAATAATCGAGGAGTTAGGCAAGGCTGTATCTTGGCCCCTACCCTATTTAATCTATTTTTATCTGACCTACCATTATTTCTTCAAAACGCAACCACTCATACTCCTTATTTAAACAAGAGCCCACTCTTTTTATTACTTTATGCAGATGATGCTGTAATTATTTCACTCTCTGTTTTGGGTTTAAAAAAATTATTTAAGAGTTTCTCAAACTACTGCTCTCTCAATAATCTCAAAATTAATTATGATAAGACAAAGATTATGCAATTCAGAAAGAGAGGGAACCCAAAAGGCTGTATAATTAATGGACATCTAATACAGGAAGTTAAGCACTTCAATTATCTGGGAATCACATTCAAAAATAATATGAATTGGAATACACATATATGTGCTGCAATAGTTAAGGCCAAAGTGACAGCCCACCATATTAAATCCTATTTTTTTTCTCAAGTAGGAAACCGATTTATTCCAGCTGTATTGCAAGTGATTGACATGAAACTCTGTGCCCAACTTCTATACGGCACACCAGTGTGGATTTCAGGTGACCTCAAGAGGTTGGATAAATTTCACGCATCCCTTCTGAGGTCATTATTAGGACTTGCAAACTCTGTAAAATATGAAACAATATGTTGTGAGCTGGGAATACTGCCTTTATCAGTAAGAGCATGGCTGAGGACCTTGAAATATTGGATCTTCCTCCATTATAGAGCCCTATCCCCTAATTCTATACTTTACGATCTTTTAAGTGATAGTGCAATCTACAATCTATCATTGATTTGTAGGAGAAAACTGGATTCGATAGGGCTCACTCTAACTGATTTTGAAATCTCTGATCCCAAAGATATATGGGAAATTATCAGGAAGACCCTCACAGGAAAAAGTGTTCTCGCCATGCTTGAGGTTGCAAAGCACAGCACCTGCTCTCCTATCCACCTAAATCTCCCTTTGTGTAGAGATTTCCAAAAGGGATACATGACAAATCTGAAGAAACATGAATTGTGTAGGCTGTTTATGTTGGCCAGATTTAACATGTTTCCCTCGGCGGTAGTGAGAGGAAGATACTTAGCTATCCCAGAATCAGAGCGTCTCTGCAAATGGAGAAAACAGGAACCCGATACTCTTCTAGAGCATATATTCTTTTCCTGTGATTTTGGCAGCTATGCCAGAGGACAATTATTTGAGGCCCTAAAATTTAATAGACAGATTTTTACACAACCAACTGTTCAGGACCTGCTGGCGGACAGCGATGATCAAACTACCTTAATAACGGCTGAATTTTTAAGTGCTGTCCATGAAGAAAGAGTGGGCCATGGTAAAGAGACTTAGTGGTTTTTAATGGTAGGTGATGTTGCTGTGTTGTATTATATTATGTATGTACATCGATTTATTTCTTGGAGTTAAGAATAGGACTGGGTTAAATTGTGTTCAATGAGCCCGTATTTTATACAGTCTGTATATGATGTTTGTTTGTTAATGTGAGATGCGATATGCCTAATAAAGGATTTTGGGGGGGAAAAAAAGTACTTAATTCGTTCCGGAGGTCCGTTCTTAACCTGAAACTGTTCTTAACCTGAAGCACCACTTTAGCTAATGGGGCCTCCTGCTGCCGCCGCGCCGCCACTGCACGATTTCTCTTCTCATCCTGAAGCAAAGTTCTTAACCTGAGGTACTATTTCTGGGTTAGTGGAGTCTGTAACCTGAAGAGTATGTAACCTGAAGTGTATGTAACCCGAGGTACCACTGCAGTAGTAATCCTACTGAACTCTATGACAGTTCTACAAAATACAGGATCGTTCAAAACAACGCCAGTAAGTTTGGGGGGCGGGGCTGGGAGTGCCCCTACTCTACATTTGCTATCTCTACGTTCAACTGCTGCTGCTGCTGTTGGCGACGGAAGCCGGAACAGTTGCGGCCTCTCTAGGCGCGCCGGAGGCTTCTCTCTGTGCTCTGAGTCCGGACGGGCTGCGGGAGGGAAAAGGAGGGTAAAGGTCGCTCGGAGTAGTTAAGCAAGAGGCAGGGCAGGACGGGGCAGGACAGGCGACCTCGCCTCCGGAGCAGCCATGGCGGAGAAGAAGGGGCCCTCCCAGGCGCCCATCAGCCCCCTGAAGAACTTCTTCGCAGGCGGCTTCGGGGGCGTCTGCTTGGTCTTCGTGGGGCACCCGCTGGACACCATCAAGGTGAGGAGCGGGGCGAAGGAGAGGGACCTGGGGACTACAAGCCCCAGGGCGCACCGCGCGGGTTGAGGCTCGCGAGGGAGGGGGAATCCCGCTGCCCTTGAACTACAACTCCCATCATCCTTTGCCGTTGGCCGTACTGGCTGGGAATGATGGGAGTTGTAGTCCATTAAAAAATATATCTAGGGATGCAAGTTTGAGAAAGGCTCGGATAGACTGGTCCATGGACGTGACCCCCGGTATTGCACCCCCACCCCAAGGATGAATAGCATTTCGAATGGCGCGGGCTCAAAAAAACTCCACCCCCCGCCATGCATCGCGCGAAGCAGAAGGGGGGAAGACTTGGAAGCAACTCCCAGCATGCATCGCGGACACAGCGATCCCTTAAAGGAGTTTTGAAGTTCGCTGTTTCTGCAAAGCGCCCTGCACTGATGCTACAGGGAGTTCTTAGTGGAATGTTGGAAGTTGCAATGTGGTGGCTTTCGGGCTCGCCTCCTCGCAATGCAATATTTATTTTTTAAATGTATGACAACTTTTTGTACCACCAATCAAGTCCCCTAAGCGGCTTACAAAACTCGTGCGTTTAGTAACTAAAATGCAAAAGTACCTAAATAAAAAGTTGTGAAAGCAGCATGGACAGTATGAGCTGCTGCTGCTTCTGACGTTTCCTAAAGTTAACAAAGTGTTAGAAGAGCAATGGAGCATTGCTGGTGTTGGGAACTGCAGTGGAAATGTTTGTGTTGCTTTGTAAGGGGCAGGGAAAATGCATCTTGGCCTCTGCTAGGAGTGCTAGCTTAATTGCACGCAGGTAGGGCCTTGTCTACATGCCAGTTGTAATTTTGCAAGCTGGTTATTTGTGATAGGGCGGGTGGCAACGTTGTGAAAGCCTGAGTCATAAAAAGCGATAAAAATGGCAACCAGTAAAATACCAGTGGTAAGATCTCTGGTCCATATTCATAGTTAATTTTCTTCTTCCCTCATTTAGGCTGCAGTTTTTCCCCCAATGACCTGGGAGTAAGTTCCAATGAATTCATGGGCCCTTACTTCCCAGCAGATACATCATGGGTTTTTATTGTGCGTTTTGTATTCTCATCTTGTCTTTTTATGTTGTAATATTTGGATAAAGAGATTCAATAGATAATAATAATACTGCTGAACACTGCCACTGTGAACTGGCAACAGCAACACCAGAAGTTACGTGGTTGGGTTATACAGACTGATCTTGAAAACTTTGCTATCTATTAATACATACACACACACACACACACACACACACACACACTGAATCTGCTTCGTGTGTGGTTCTGTTTCTGTTCACATGTTTATGTGTTAGTGTGTACATAACTTTATGGCAGATCAATAAAAATTAGTAAAAAATATCCTGCCAACTGTTTTGCATGGCTCAACATAGCATTGCACTAGAGGTCTCTTAACCATGTAGCCTGGGTGCATGGGGCATATGGTGAAATTGCTTTGGGTCACAGAATCTTTCAGCTTGGTCCTAGTTATTTTACAAACCATGGAGGTAGAACAAGATATACCTGTTCTCTGAAATGTGGTCATGGGTTATACTGTGGCCTGCCTTGGGAGGAGAAGCATTGGGGAGGCCAATCTTGATAAAGATATTTGTTGCCAGTCATTTTGCAAGACCTTGGGATTTCTACACTAGAGAAGAATTTGGTACAGGGTACTGAATGCAGCATCTTCTAAGAATTTTAGTTCGCTTTTCTTTTCTTAACTAAAGTTCTAACCCTTACAGGTGTGAAAATAGGTTTTGAAAGTATATGGGTAATGCTTGGTGAGATCACAGAAACTGGGAGAGGGCAGCTGAAGAGTAATATATTGGTTTGTGCAGGATTAAACCTGGAGGGACACGGGTGGCGCTGTGGGTCAAACCACAGAGCCTAGGGCTTGCTGATCAGAAGGTCAGCAGTTCAAATCCCCGTGATGGGGTGAGCTCCTGTTGCTCGGTCCCAGTTCCTGCCAACCTAGCAGTTCGAAAGCACGTCAAAGTGCAAGTAGATAAATAGGTACTGCTCCGGCGGAAAGGTAAACGGCCTTTCTGTGTGCTGCTCTGGTTCGCCAGAAGCGGCTTAGTCGTGCTGGCCACATGACCCGGAAGCTGTATGCCAGCTCCCTCGGCCAATAAAGCGAGATGAGAGTCGTCCACGACTGTACCTAATTCTCAGGAGTCCCTTTGTTGTTGTTTAGTTATGTCCGACTCTTCGTGACCCCATGGACCAGAGCATGACAGGCACTCCTGTCTTCCACTGCCTCCCGCAGTTTGGTCAGGTGAAGGAGTCCCTTTACCTTTACCTTAAACCTGGAGAGACCTAGGTTCAAATCCCCATTCAGCCATACAACCTTGCCTAATTGTTGTGAAGATACAATGGATAGGGCAGGGAAGAGCTGCACATACAGCCTTGAGGTCTCTAGAGGAGATAAATGTATGAGTGGTTAATAAGTAGGATTTTCAGGCTGTGCTCTCCATAGCTTCCCAGCGTCCTTCCCCATGACCTGTGTGCACGAAGCAAATGTGTGCAAATGGGTTTTTCCAGCTTTTTTTTAGTCCAGATTTGTGCTAACAGCAAAATATTTCTGCTTGCAGTGTCACGGTGCCTTCCCATCTACCAGTTTATAATGTTCTGTCTCTCCTCCTCGCCGGTTTGCAACCTGGATGAAGCCTCTTTAATCCTGTTTTTTATAGTCCCGTTTCCAATGTATCTTATGTCTTAATCGGATGAGTTGGAAGTTCTTGATCCTTGTGAAACCAAGGACAATGGACTTTGCCTTTGTATGCGTCCTGCTGCTAATCATTAGACCAGGAGATTCTAGCATACTGTTTTAAACAGGGCAGATATCAAAAGGAGCGTGGAGGACTTGCCCTTTGTATGCTGGCTTGGTCACACACAGAATTGAGACGAATGTGACCAGTGGAGGAGTTCTTGTACCCCAGAACTTCCACAAACTGAACTGATACGTTGCCCTAGCCCAGGCAAAATCAATAGTTTTAATACAAAGGAAGCTTCATAATACTGAATCAGACCATTGGTAGCAGCTGTCCAGGGTTTCTGGCACGAGTCTTTCTCTTTTTGTCAAAAAGAAAATATTAAGTTTTTTAAAAACATTTTTTGTACATATTAAACATTAAAATACTGAGTTCTTTTGAACCCTTCGATCACCTTCCCTCCCTCCATAGGTTCCTTTTTTAAGATTAAGTTTACTGCATCTTTTACCCTTATCTATTATATAACCATAATTATCATTAAAGCAATTCCACATTACAAGTGTCCTTACATCCCTGCCAAAGATTTTAACTGTTTACAGTGGTCTTTTAAGTAAATTAGACCTTGCTTCTTCTTTAATTGCCACACCTTTAATTTCTCTGGTTAGCAAATTCAAAGCTTTTCTGTTTTATCAATTTTATTTTCCACTCAACTTCCTGGTTTATTAGCATTGATAATTGGGTTTGCAGAATCTTAATATGCTGTTTTATCAGTGCATTCGCAGGCTTCTTAATTAATTGCTTTTCTGGCACGAGTTTTTCTCTAGCCCTACCCAGAGATGCCGAGGATTAAACGTGGGGCCTTTTGCAATCAAAGCATTGAGCTGCAAGTCCTTTTGCTGAGAGTAGTGATCAATAGTAGCACTGGAATTTGCCCGATATAACCTCGTCAGGGGGTGGTGGATGAGTCTCAGGAACCCCAGTGCAGTTGTCCAGTGAAAGTGTAAAACCTCAGCTCTTGTTTTCTCAAGCAGTTTTTCTCTGGGGGGTTTCATTTATTATAATTATAATTATTATAATTATTATTATTATTATTATTATTATTATTTGTACTCCGCCCATCTGGCTGGGTTTCCCTAGCCACACTGGGCGGCTTCCACAGAGACCAAAAATACACTAAAATGTCACATATTAAAAACTTCCCTGAACAGGGCTGCCTTAAGATGTCTTCTGAATGTCAGGTAGTTGTTTATCGCTTTGACATCTGATGGAAGGGCGTTCCACAGGGCGGGTGCCACTACCGAGAAGGCCCCCTGCCTGGTTCCCTGTAGCTTTGCTTCTCGCAATGAGGGAACCACCAGAAGGCCCTCGGCGCTAGACCTCAGTGTCTGGGCAGAACGATGTGGGTGGAGATGCTCCTTCAACAGACGGGTCAAAAGTACAGTCATCCCTCATGTTACGGCCGCTTCAGGTTATGTGTTTTTGGGTTGCAGACCACGGGAAACCCGGAAGTACTGGAGCGGGTTACTTCTGGGTTTTGCCGCATGCGCAGAAGTGCCAAATCACGCATGTGCAGACGCGGCACTTCAAGATGCGGACGTTGTGGGTTGCGTGCGTGCCTCCGCACGAGGTTCCACTGTAGTCGGGCATTTTAATGAGCTAATTTCTTACAATGGTTGCAAGGAACAGAAAGCATTGTGGGGATTCCAAAAACCAAGATAAGGCAGCCTGGACGAGGATGTCAAGCTTGCCCATGACAACCTGAGGAAACTCAGCCAGATGGCCAGGGTATAAATAATAGAATTATTATTATCAGTGCTTTTTTTTTCTTAAAAAATGTTTAGCAGTACTCTCATTTTCCTCCTCATATTGAAACACTGCCCCTCAGTGAGGCCAAACGTAGATTCACAAAATGTTTAGGGGTATGTGTACCCCCAGAAAAAAGCACTGATGATAATGATGATGATGATTAACCTTCCTAGGGTCCTCAGCACTAACCCACATCAGGTCAAGCTGGGGGACTCTGAACCTGTAGTGATTGTTGGTACATCAGTGGAAATCCTAATCTGCCCTGATTACCCAACATCAGGCATTCAAAGATGGCGCTCATCTTGACAGGAAGCTGAGTGAGAGGGATGGGAGTCCTAGAGAGGACTAGGTTCTCACTGACCATTGAGCCTGTTTTGGTATTAGTTCAATACTGCCCAAGTGAGCACAGCTGAGAGAGATCATCTCCTCCTAGCTCACCACCTTAGGTCTTAGTAATACAGAACATGTTAGCCGCCTCATCCAGAAATAAATCTACATGAATCCTTAATCTCCCAGGTCTGAGTTTCGGGAGATCCTGCCCTTAGGCTCCGGCCCAACCTTGACAGAGGAAGGCTGTCTCTTTGGCTTATTTTGTACGTTCTCTCTGCATCTCATATTCAGCCGTACAGTGGTGCCTCGCAAGACGAAATTAATTCGTTCCGCAAGTTTTGTCGTCTTGCGAAGCACGGTGTCGGAAAAGTTTTGGAAAAGCTTCAAAAATCACCAGTCTTCAAAAACCTCAAAAACGGCTACCACACCGCGTGCTATGAGTTGCTCCTCAAAGTCAAGTCGCAACTGTATTAACGGTGTTAAGAAAAAGGAAACAAACTTGCAAGACCTTTCCGTCTTGCGAAGCAAGCCCATAGGGAAAACCGTCTTGCGAAGCAACTCAAAAAACAAAAAACCCTTTCGTCTTGCGAGTTTTCTGTCTTGCAAGGTACCACTGTATAATTAGCCGAATGCCTGTCAGTCCCAATTTATTAGGCCTGCCCACCCCTCAATCCCATTACACAGCACTCTATTTCATCAAGTAAGGGGTGGATTTGAAGACAGAAAACATGAGGGGCATATGATGGGTTAGGAGAAAGTTGCCTGAGGGAACCAGAGCTTTGGGTGGCTGGCTAGCCGTCTCTATTAGAAACCAATTTCCTAATAAAAAGGGCCCAGTAATAAGAGAGAATGTTTGCATTCATGGCATTCCCTCCCCCCTTCAACTTCTTTTGCAGGTCAGGCTACAGACTCAACCGAAACCTTTGCCTGGACAGCCTGCACTCTACTCTGGGACCTTTGACTGCTTCAGAAAGACTCTCGTCGCCGAGGTATTGTGTCAGTTCAGTTGTGATGCCTGTCAGAAACATCACTTGTTTCTCCAAATCAAATTGTGTCAGAATGATGTCTTGCTGAAGATGGAGAGCTTCTTGGGTTATCAGACCAAATGACTCATGCTCAAGTGACTCAGCGGGAAATTATTTTTGACAGGAGAACTAGTTAGCTATACTGTAAAGGTAAAAGGTAATTGTCCAACTCCTAAGCACATATAATTGTGAAGATGCGATACCTGACATTTGGGGCCTGTTTGCACAGTGGCCTGGTTTGCACTTCATGATAAGGTTTCTTGTGTTGTGCCCAACCCATAGCGACCCTTAGGCTCCTCCCTGCTCCCCTTGTCTTCTGGGACTGGAACAAGGATTTTGCTTTTGGTAAAACACAACTTCCCCTTTTTGTCCAAACCGGGGATCATGGATTATGCTAACTCTGGTTTGATTAAACCAACCAGCTTCATAACCTATGGATTTGGCTTGTTTTGAAACAGTCGTGTCCATCTACAATCCCAGGTTCGGCTGGAATGGGAAGTAATGGCTTACTAAAAGTGAAAATAAATGCTCCTGAATGCTTCTTTCCAGCAACACAGAAGGTGGAAGGAGGAGGGCAGAAATCTAAAGCTCACTGCAGCTGGTGCACATCATGATAAACCATGGTTTATTTGATGTGTGAATATGGCTGCTACATTCAACACATGTACAATCTGTGTACACATAATGGTTTTTCTGTAGCCATGTGTGGTTATTTATGTGTAATTTATACCAGTGCTTTTAGGGGCTTTCTGGATGATATCCCAGGATCCTATTGCCATTCCTTTACCTTGAAGAAAATAGGGAAGAATATCGTAACCCTTCCATTACTGGATTGTTATTAATTATAGTTCTGAAATCTATAGCTCCCTGCTCTACTTCCTCCTCTTCCCTCTTCCAATTTCTGCGGTAAATTTCCCCTTCTTTTCCCCTGTCCTCTTTAACAGTGGTTGAATGTTACATCTGCACCACCTCTAGCCGTGATTAATGCCAACTAGATTCCCTCTTAATCTGTTTCAAATCCTTGTTAAGATGGGAATGTCAAGTTCTGATTAAGACTGGGAATGGGAGAAGTTGTTTCTGCCAAACCTTGTTCTTAGGTCACCATTGTGATTTGTTTGAGTGAAAGGACCCACCACCCCTGGCTCAGATATAGTGCGGTTTGTTCAGCCCAGGACAAAGCAGATGCAATCGGCTCATGCATGATAAGCCATGGTTTATGTCTTACCATGATGTGTGAACAGAGCCTCTGACACATTTCTTAAGAAAGTATGGCTGCAGATAAATTCGGCGTCCCTTCACAATAACCCAGCAGCTACTTGTGCTCTCTTGAATAGGGTCAGCCGCTGATATCTGATGTTGAAATAGCATCCCCTGTGAAGGGCTGCAGAAAAGCTAAAGTAATCCACTGCCTTGCTGTGTCTTGCAGGGAGTCCGTGGTTTGTACAAAGGGATGGCAGCTCCGATTGTTGGTGTGACCCCCATGTTTGCTGTGTGTTTCTTTGGATTTGGCTTGGGGAAAAAACTCCAGCAGAGGACACCCGATGACGTTCTGACGTGAGTGACTTCCGATAATCTAGCAACAGGCTGTCAAGGCATTCCAGGCTACTGTGACGTATAAAATTGCACATTCCGCCACTGCAGCCAAGAACCGTGTTATTTTTTCCCTCCCCGTTATAAATATACATAGGCCCTTTTTTTTTTTTTTTGCGAAATGAATAAATCTGGCAAGCTTTAAGGCTCCTGGAAGCGTGGGATTGATTGCACCGGCTGAAAACAGACACTGTGTGGGCTGTTGCTGCATAGTTTCCTTCCTAGGCAAAACTTGCAGCTATTTAGGAAGGATTATATTTGAGATTAGTGTGGTGTGTGTTACATAATGGCAGGCTCGTAACACCTCCTCGTAATAGTGGGCCTGAGCGCATAAACCCCATTTATATGCCGAGACGACTGTTTCACTGAGCCTACACTTGGTGATGTACATAACCCGACCTTCCCACGACGTACACATCTTTCTGGTACGCCCTCAGTTCTCCAAATAGCTAAGTGCATCCGGATCATGCTGGATTCCCAGAATTTGTCTCATACCTCAGCTCTTTGCAGACTTACGTAAGAACAGCCCTGCTAAAGGCCCACCTGGTCCAGCACCTGTTTCCCACAGTGGTCTGTCAGATGACCATGGGAAACCCACAAGCAGGATGTGAGGGCAGTTGCCCTCCCCTATAGCCGTTCCCCAACGACTGGTCTTCTGACACAGGATCATTTGACCCTGGAGGTAACATCATGGCTTGTAGCCATTGGTAAATTTTCTCCTCCATGAGTTTGTCCAATCCAGGGGTGGGGAACCTTTTGGGCCTGGTGGGCCAGATCTTTTATCTCCCCCTGCTTCCCATGGGCCAGCTTTAACAGCTGGGTGCAGCCGCCCACCTATTAATCCCCTGGTGTCGTGATGATATCAGGTGATAGGTAGGCAGGAGGTTCTTGCCTTCTGGGGAGCCAGTGTGGTGTAGTGGTTAAGAGTGGTGGTCTCGTAATCTGGTGAACCGGGTTCGCGTCCCCACTCCTCCACATGCAGCTGCTGGGTGACCTTGGGCTAGTCACACTTCTTTGAAGTCTCTCAGCCCCACTCACCTCACAGAGTGTTTGTAGTGGGGGAGGAAGGGAAAGGAGATTGTGAGCCGCTTTGAGACTCCTTAGGGTAGTGATAAAGCGGGATATCAAATCCAAACTCCTCTTCTTCTTCATAGTGGACTCACAGGGGTGGGGGAAAGAGGTCTCTTTCACTAGCACATTCCCTGCAGGACTGAACCCCACCCTAATAATAATAATAATAATAATAATAATAATAATTTATTTATACCCTGCCCATATTTATTTATACCCTGCTTCAGGTTACGGACTCCGCTAACCCAGAAATAGTACCTCAGGTTAAGAACTTTGCTTCATGATGAGAACAGAAATCACACAGCGGTGCAGCAGCAGTGGGAGGCCCCATTAGCTAAAGCGGCGCTTCAGGTTAAGAACAGTTTCAGGTTAAGAACGGACCTCCAGAACGAATTAAGTTCTTAACCTGAGGTACCACTGTATGTGATCTTGAGAGAGAAGATGTGACCGTGATAGAGTCCCAAGGGCTGGACTGAGGCCTGCATGAGGCGTGAGGCCCCCCCACCCCTGCGGGAAAGTGGGGGAATATGCAAAGATTGTTCCAAATTTGTAGCTATCTATCTGAATCTGCTGCTACTATGGTTCTGTAATGACTGCTCATGCTGCCTTTATATTTTTAATTGGCTTTTGTTATTTTTTAAAATTGTTGTTAGCTGCTCTGAGGTTCTTTCTGAAGCACCTGGTGAGATGTAAATTGGGGGGGGGGAATAAAGACGACGAAATTATCATTTAATTGCATGATTACATTTTGCTCAGAACGTTGGTTTTCTTGGCACATAATTGGAATTTTTAGCGTTGACAGGGAACAGCCCTGATAATATGCACAGGTATTTTTAATAGTTGGCTGGCATTTTTAGTTCTTTTGTTCTGGAAATGGAAGGGCTTTGAAAGAACAGAGTCTAAAATGCCGCGCTGCTGAGCAGTTGTTGATTTAATATGGTGGCGTGGCAAGGCCTAGTAAGGACTCAAGAACCCTACAGGTGGCTGACCAGTGGCCAAGCAGATGTCTCTGGGATGCACACAGGCAGGAGATGAGCACAATAGCCCTCTCCCACTTCTGACCCCCAGCATCTGATATTCAGAGGCATACTGACGCTGATCTTGGAGGTTAGATATGGTCATCATGACTAGTAGCCTGATAAATGAATTTATTAGCCTTTACCCCAATGAACTGGTCTAATTCACTTTAAAAAACCATCCACGTTGGGAGTCATCACTACATCTCTCCCTGACTTTGTGTTTAGGAAAATGCATATCGCATGATTAATGTCCTTTCATCCCTATGCAGATATCCCCAGCTTTTTGCTGCAGGCATGCTTTCTGGGGTGTTCACCACCGTAATCATGGCTCCGGGAGAGAGAATCAAGTGCCTTTTACAGGTAAGAGGGGCTTCAGGAAGCCACCCAACCTTTCCAGGAAGCTAGTCTGGCAATTGCGCCCTAGCAAAAACTTTGCATCCTTATATTTCCTTCTTATCACTGGGTGTCCTCCTCTAGCCTTCAGTCTGAGGTTAAAAGGACACCATGTAAATATAAAGTTTTCTAAATGTTTTGGATGTCCCCCAGTCCACTTGGCTAAGCATATCTCTCTCTGTGTGTGTAAAAAGACATATGTGCGGAAGTGTGTATAGATATGAACGAGAGAGGATGCTAAAATTGCCAGGAAACTATGCCCCGCCTCTAACTACTAACCATTGGCACATCACATTCCCAACAGCAATGTTTTCTTAATGATACTGCTCATATGAGTGCTACAAGTGGGGTGCAGTGACGACTGCAGCAGGAGGAGAGCAACGGGTGGAACAGAGGTCCAGTCATCTGGCCAGAGGCTTGTGCATCCTGCAGTAGCTTGCAGGAGGTTCCTAGCATGTTTACACTGAACTGGTTAGGACAGTGTTCTCTCAATAGGGTTGACGGGCCTGTTACAGAATTTGCAGGGGTCCTATACCTACTGCTGTCCTATTTGACACTGATACGTAATTCTCTCCTTGGTCCTCAGGCTTCAGCTTTGGCCTGTGGCCTTTCTTAAAGAAGCAACCTGTCTCTGTGTCAGTGACAGCACTTTTTCAACTTTACTACAGCCCTCTTCCCCCCTGCGGGAGTTCCTCGCGCTGAAATTATCCGACATCTGAACTCTCTTCTCAGAGAGGCAATGGTCAGGCGCCTGTGGTGCACCCTAACACTTTCCTGGCTGTCAAGTAACTCTCTCCAGAGGACTTCTCACTTCTGATGGGTGCTATCTTGTAGACCAGAACAAACTATCAGCTGCTCTGCCTGTATCCTTCTTCCCCTTTCCCCAAGATCAGTTTCCCTGGATCAGGGAGGGAAATGGGGGTAGCTCACACCAGGCATATCTGCTCTTGGCTTCCCAAGAGCCTTGGACCTCCAGACCTTATTGAAAGCTCCCCATAGTAACACGCCCGCTATCCACCCTGTGGTTATCTGAACATATTGAATGTGCAGGTTCATTTCTCATTCCCCATATAAACAGCCTGCCGGTTTATTTCCAAGTATACATCCGTTTACAGCTTGACTACCTCCCAAGGCGAAGTCACTAAATGTTGCATTTGATTACTGTTATGAATGATATGCTTTACGGAAGTTTTTGCAGGCTCTTTTTGGACTAGGTAAGGAAATTAGATGTTAAAGAGCTGGAAGGGGAAGAAGGATAAAGGCAGAGCAGCTGATAGTTTGTTCAATTTCAATCTGAGTGTGAATTTTTGAACGGAATGTTCACACCAGGCTTGCAGAAGCGACTCGTTAATTTGAGCAAGCTAAAATTAAGAGCGACCACAATAAATTTTGAAGTTGATTTTCATTCTGACTTTGTCTTATCCTTCCTGTTTGTGTATTTTTATGCAATTGTGATGGCCTATGGAATAAATATATGCAATAAATATTTACTGTATATCAAGTGGATTTCAATTTCCGCCACTTCGGTGCACAATCATCACTTGACATTCTGCGGCTCACATCTCACAGTCGACTTCTGAGGAAGGAATCAAATTTGCAGAGCTGCCTTTGAGGAGTTTTAGATTTAGGGGCGTTTGTACAACCGTGTAGTTATAACTGATGAGAAAATCGTTCTTTAATTCCCTTAGATCCAGGCAGCCTCTGGTGAAATTAAATATGGAGGCCCTATGGACTGTGCCAAACAGCTTTATCGTGAGGCTGGCATTCGAGGTGTTTACAAAGGAACGGTGCTCACCCTCATGAGAGGTAATTGCTGGTCAAGTGCCCCTAAAGCCCCGTTTGTGGAATGTCGTCAATGTTATTTTTCCCCTTAAAGTTTTGTTAAAATAATAATAAAAGTAGCTAGATTTTTAAAGGGGGAGGGGGTGGTTGGCACCGAATGGCTCCTTTTGTAAATAATAATAATAATAATAATAATAATAATAATAATAATTTTATTATTTATACCCACCCATCTGACTGAGTTTCCCCAGCCATTCTGGGCAGCTTCCAATCAAGTGTTAAAAACAATGCAGCATTAAATATTAAAAACTTCCCTGTTTTCAGGTTTTCAGGTGTCTATTTCCTTGACATCTAATAGGAGGGCGTTCCACAGGGCGGGCGCCACTACCGAGAAGGCCCTCTGTCTGGTTTATATTCTGATTTATAATCACAGATGATATTGTCTTTCCATCCTCTCCCCCCCCCCGCCCCTTCTCCCCAGCTCTGCCCCTGTCTCAATCAAGGAGTCAAGCCCCCTTTGTTCTGCTTTGGGGCCTGGCGGAATGTTCTGTGCCATTTCCCGCCTTTGAGAACGTTCCTTGCAAGTCAGGCCCCGGTTGCGCCTCTGGTTTCTCTAAGTCTGAATTTGCGTTTGTTTTACCAGATGTTCCAGCCAGTGGGATGTACTTCATGACCTATGAGTGGCTTAAATATATTTTGACACCTGAAGGGCAGAGGTGAGTAAAAGCCTACGTTTCCCACCAGTACATCTAAGAAATTCTTCCTGCTGCTGAGTAAGGATAATCTTGTGTTCTTAGTTATCAAAAACACCAGTGGCAAGTGTTTCCAGGGAAATGCTCAAATACTTGGTTATGTGTTCTTTAGTTTTGTTGCATTTGTTTACAAGGAAAACCATTTTTTTTAAAAAAATGCACTACTACTAAAAAGAAGATTACATTTCTATAAAGGATTTGAAGTGATCAAAACCCTTAACATGTTCTGTTACAGTAAACTTTACTGTAAAGTAAGCCTAAGTGGCTTCGTCGTCGTATGTGCCTTGTAGTATGACACAGGGGCAGAGTGCAGGAATCCACATAATAATAATGACAGAAGGTTTTTCTCTGTAGCAGGAAAGTTTCCCTTTTTTCAGTGCACTGCAGGAACTCAACAACAAAAGCAGCTTGCTGGGTGGAGCAGAGCTGTGATACTACAGGGGGTGAGGTAGTGGGGAGCCTGGTGTGGTGCAAGTGCACCAACGGAAAAGTCCAAATTGGCCCTGCTGGTGCCCTTGCACTGTGCCAACCTCCCCGCCGCCTGTCCCCTCTGCCTTGGTGTCTGTTGCATTTCTGGTCCCAAGAAGTTGTGATCTTCATAAATAGGAACTGAAAAGAAAAGTCGGTCTTGTGGCACCCTGAAGTCTACGGTTTGCACTTTCATGGGTTACAGATATGTGAAATGTTGCCCTTGGAATGCAAAAACATAGAACAACCACCACCCTGTGAACAATAGTGTTAAATAATGATAAAATGCAGAAAAAAAGAAAAAAAAAGAAAGAAAGCATGGTCTGTGCCAATGCAGATAAAGCTTAAATTTATGCAGAATAAGCACCTTGTGATCATTCACAACAGAAGTAATTGGTGATGGAGGACACTGAAGAATCTCTCTCTCTCTCTCTCTCTCTCTCTCTTTCTCTTTCTCTTTCTCCCTTCCTCTTTTTAATCTTCTCTGCAGTGTCCGTGACCTCAGTGTACCCAGGATTCTGTTTGCAGGTGGCATGGCAGGGATTTTTAACTGGGCTGTTGCGATCCCTCCAGATGTGTTGAAGTCTCGTTTCCAGACAGGTGAGTCAGCTTGGTCTCTAACCTAAAGGTGGGCTCTTGGGAGATTTTGTCTTCTGTTACCTTTTGAAATGCATGGTTCAAAGAGATCCAGTCCTTCCCCCTGTCAGAATTGTTTTTGGGAGGTGGCTGCCTGAGACTGAAGCAGGGAAACCAAATTGGAACAATGAGCGCTCAGTAAAAATTGCGTGCATCTTGAGTGACTCATTGCTAATTTCACCTTAGAGTAATTAGAGAAAACATGGAGGTGCGGCTAACACTATCCATGGCTCTCCCCACCCTGAGTTCCACTGTAGATCCACAATATTCTTAGGAAGAGAATGCACATTGAAGGATTAGCTCTTTCAGGTTTCATTTGCACATTGTCTTCTTCAGTGAGTTCCTCTGAGCATCATTCCTGAGCAACAGCCCGTGCCACACACTCTGGTTTAATCCGGAGCTTGATGAGATATTTGCATCTTTCTTCGCTGTGCAGTGACTGCCCTTTCCCATTGTGGCCATTGGGTTTCTGGTGCGGCACAAATTCTCACTCTTCTCCTCTCCTAATTGTTGGCTTTGCAGCTGCAACTCTATTCACTATGGGAATTGGAACCAAAATGGGGTATGGTCTCATTTTGCAGCCTCCTTGAGGCTTTCTGTTAAGTTTTTTCCAGAGGAAACTTTTGTGCTGGCTTTCTGGTGCTTGCCTGGTCAGCTGTGGTGAATATAATTGCCGGCAAACAAAGAGCAGGGATCCAAAGAGAGGGGAATCTGTGGCACTTTGGGGACTCCAGCTCCCATCAGCCCCAGCCAGTGTGGTTTCTGGGGGTTGTAGTGTTGCATCATGCAAGTTTCCCCATCCATGTTTGATAAAGGAAGTTGGTATCTTCAGGCCATTGGTATGCCTCTAATGATTTCTCATTAGATTGGATTAGTCAGTGGGACAGGTGAGAAGCGGGCCAGAACGTTCCTGGACTCCTTTGTAAAGCTGGTTCAGCATCTTCGCCACAGCCATGCCTTGCCTTCTCAACAAGCCATTCAAGTTCTGAAAATTTTGCCTGCCTGAGCCTCTTCGCCACAGTGTGGCTTGTACAGTGGATCTGGCAAGTTACTCGCCCTTGAGTGAGTGGCAAGTGGTTAATTTCAAGACTGATTTCAAGGAACAGCTCCCTTTCTCCCCACCCCACAAGGCAGGGACATTGTCGCTCGCATCACGGTCTCTAACTAGAGATGGGGAACCTGTAGATGTTGAGTTGTTCCTAGACTACAGCTTCCGCCATTCCTAGCCGTGCTGGAGGAGCCAGGTTCCCTAACCCTCAACTCCACGCAGTACTTATAACTGCAGAAAATGTGCTCCCATAGCGGTAGTTATCATTTGAGGGTGTGCAGAAAGGAGGGAGAGTGATTGCTGGGCAAACAGGGAGGAAGGGGGAGCACAAGGCTGCCTTAGCAGGCCAGGGCTTCTCAGTGACTGGGGCTCATGAGATGACTTAAACCATAACTTGCATGCTTTTACCTTTCTCAACAGCTCCTCCGGGAAAGTATCCCAATGGCTTCAGAGACGTTTTGCGGGAGCTGATTCGAGAGGAAGGAGTGGCGTCACTGTACAAGGGATTTACCGCTGTGATGATCAGGGCTTTCCCAGCCAACGCAGTAAGTGAACAGTGGGCTCATCGACAGATGGTAGATTTTTTTTAGCCCCATTTCCATTTGGATCATTTCATTCCTTTCTGTGTGTTTTCCTCCAGGCCTGCTTCCTTGGTTTTGAAGTCGCCATGAAGTTCTTTAACTGGCTCGCCCCAAGTCTGTGAAGACCGGAAGGACGTGGTCCTAAGGGAACCTGAGGACAAGAGGAAGGAGGCAATCGCATTAGAAGAGCAAAATGGAACGATGAAGCAAAATAAGCTGTATAAATGACTTATTTTTTTAATAACCGGTTTTTGCCTTACTCGCTCCCTCTGGAGGAGGCTGTTGTTGCCATTCGGAATCTCGAGCCAATTCTCATCCCCGTTGGGAGTTTGAGATGCATACCTGCCTTCTGAACCCAAAGTTACCATAGGGGTCAAGCTGCTCGTAGAAAACCTTACTGCTATTAATAGGTGTCAAATTTCTTCTTATTTGCCTCTTTTGGAAATAAAGAAGGAATATTTTAATTTCCCATTTTTTAATCTTAGTAAAGAACTGCATGGATGGTGGCCATAGTACTAGGTGGAGGGTTGGGTTGGAGATCTAGCCACTGTGCATTTAATTCTCAGGATAAACTTCACACTTAAGTGCATGCAAGCACGTAAGAAGATTGTTTAGCTTTGGTTTACAGACACTACACAGTCTGCCACTACAGTTTTGTGTAAGCAGCATGGAAATGAATGAGACTTGCACATGAACACAGATGTTATTTCAGCAGTCCCAAAAACTTCAGTGGGGCTTGTACATTACTCAGTCATGGCAGGTACTGGTTTTAAGTCTCTTGTTTGTTACCTTGAGGTGTATGACCCACACTGTGGCGCGGCATGCTGGTTTGAACTAGTTCACACACTGAAAGCTCAAGAACTGGACGCAACAGATATAAAATTAACAGAGCTGCAGAATCTTGTATTAATGTCTAATAAACTCAAACTGATAAATTACAGGTGTAAGGGAGTAACCTCCAGGTTTCTTCAGAGATCCTGTCACAGTTGGCTAGAAAGTGTGGTCAGCACAGAAACAAAGGTGCCCCCTTTCCCCCTAAAATACTCTTTCAATAGGTGCTTTCTGGTAACTGGTGATACCAGCTTCACAAGTGCCAACCTCATGGTTATATCTGAGGTGCCAAATGATGAATTCTGGTACATGTGGTACCTGTGCTTGTATTGTGGTGGTTTCAAAGTCAAGAGAGGTTTTAAAACTGGAAGTTGAAAGAGCCTGAAATAGGATAACTTCAGAGTGACTGTTTCCACTGCCGTTTTACCTCAAGAGGACTTTATTGCATGCCTGGTGTGTTTTAGCTGAAGCACCTCCCATGCCCAGGCAGTAAAGGCAGGACTATTGGTCTGTAAAGTGTTTCAGTGGGATAAAATTATCCTGTTCAGGACTATACATTTGCTGAGTCTCAGCCAGAATTTGGTCTTGGTGTTCTTGTTTACTTTCCGTTTTGGAGTTACTACACCATCGGCAGAGACTTGTCTTCCTTTTCATAGACATCAGCCAGGCTATTTTAAAATAGCCTCTGCCATCTTGAGAGCCAGAGTCTTGTTCTAAGGGCTGAGATTCTTTTGGAATGCAAATCCTGTACTAGCTTCTCCGGGGAACCCCAAAAGGCTGCTCGTGTTCTCTTGGTGTATAGTTTTGTATTTGCTGCTGTCTCTGAGAATCTGTTGTTAAACACACAAATTGAACTTTAACTCTGCTGGGACTGAAGGTCTCCCTCCGGACAGTCGAGATTCTGCTTTAACTAAAAATTGGCTGTCTGGCTGTCAGTCGTTCTGCTCATTTCTCACTGTGTCTTGTATATTTGAGGCATTCCAAAGAGAAATCCTCTCTCTGGAATCTACTCCTCTACCAAAGTAAGATAATTCAGCCTGCACAAGCTGCCTATGAGCTTTTGAAAAAGTAACTGCTCCCTTAAAAAAATAAAGATCATGTGCATAGTTTCATGATGGTGGTTTCATCTCTTGTAAAACATTAATAAATTACTTCATGGTGCCCATCATTAACACATTAAGCTGGTCGTTTCCTTCCTATCTAAGACAAAGGATTGCTTTCCTTTGCAGTATATTGCATCATTCAGTGCTTAGGTCATTTGGTCAAATATTAGTAACTCATTGTCCCTGGAACTGTACTTTTTTGGGGGTGGGGGCTTTAAGGGGCTAGTTTTCTCAGAACATTTGCAAAACACAACTCCTCTTCAGGGTTGCTAGTCCTTGAACCAGCCTTACTAATTAAAACAATACATAGCCATCTGTTGTGGATGGTTTAGCTGAGATTCCTGCCTTGCAAGGGGGTAATAATAATAATAATAATAATAATAATAATAATATTTATACCCCGCCCATCTGGCTGGGCTTCCCCAGCCACTCTGGGCGGCTTCCAAAAAAATATTAAAATACTGTAATACATCAAACATTAAAATACTAGATAACCCTTGGGTTCCTTCCAACTCTACCCTTCTATGATTTTGTGCCCTGCTGCATCAAACCAAAGCTCCAACTAAAGCAAGCTTCAGGTTTGAGGAAGCCCTGTTCAAAATGCTCCCTGGCAGGCCTTAATGCACTTACCGGTAACCTTGCAGCAGCAGGAAACAACTGCGGACGTCAAGAGCTGAGCTGCCATTTGAATTTTCTATAGTGCTGTTGCTCTGGAATATAGCATTGAAGGGATTAAAATGGCTGCTTGGAGCACCAGGAGGATTTTCTTTTTAACGTGGGATTAGAGCAGGCATTGGTTGTGGGCCTTGATGGCGAGCCATGGCCCTGGCACACTTGCCCAAGGCTGCTAGGTGTTGACACCAGCCTTGCTATTGACAGCACTCAGTCACAGTTTCCTGCAAGCTCCCAAGCAGAACATGAAGGCAACATTGTCTGTCCTGAATCCACTGCCAGTCAACCGCATTGAGTGACCCTGAGCTTCTAGGATTACAACTGATGGTGGTGGGAAGGATTCTCTCACTCTACTCCATTCATAATCTTTATTAAGTGTCTTCCCCGCCCCCCCAAAAAAACTGGAAAGCCCCAAATGTTTATAGTGAAGCTTTTCATTTCCATTGATAATTTTAGTTGGTTTTTTTCCAGCTCTGTGCTCATTTTCGAGTTGGGTGACCAGTATCGTATACCAAAAGTGCCTAACCTGTCGCCTTCTATATGTTGCTGAACCAGAACTCCCATTATGCCTGGACTCTCATCTTGGCTGGGGCTGATAAGAATTGGGAGCTTAATGACATGTGTAAAGCCACATGTATACGGTGCTTCAAATGTAGCCATTTGTTGTTGTTGTTTAGTCGTTTAGTCGTGTTCGACTCTTCGTGACCCCATGGACCAGAGCACGCCAGGCACCTCTGTCCTCCACTACCTCCCGCAGTTTGGTCAAACTCATGCTGGTAACCTCGAAAACACTATCCAACCATCTCGTCCTCTGTCGCCCCCTTCTCCTTGTGCCCTCCATCTTTCCAAGCATCAGGGTCTTCTCCAGGGAGTCTTCTCTTCTCATGAGGTGGCCAAAGTACTGGAGCCTCAGCTTCACGATCTGTCCTTCCAGTGAGCACTCAGGGCTGATTTCCTTAAGAATGGATGCGTTTGATCTTCTTGCAGTCCATGGGACTCTCAAGAGTCTTCTCCAGCACCATAATTCAAAAGCATCAATTCTTCGGCGATCAGCCTTCTTTATGGTCCAGCTCTCACTTCCATACATCACTACTGGGAAAACCATGGCTTTAACTATACGGACCTTTGTTGGCAAGGTGACGTCTCTACTTCTCAAGATGCTGTCTAGGCCTGCCATTGCCCTTCTCCCAAGAAGCAGGCGTCTTTTAATTTCGTGATTTAGATTTATTATACAGTGGCATAATGGTGCTTGCTGTTTTATTTTCTCTCTTTCCTAGCATTTAATATGCTCCCCCCTATAGCTTCAGAGAACTGTCCACTATGACAACAGCTCGTTCTGACACCATCACTTTGTATGTAGTATTAGTTTGATAGCCATTTCTAGAAGGCAAGGGCTGCCCAATAAATTGACTGACCAAGTTGCTCAAAACACACAGGCAATAGGAAATATTCAAATAACAACGGCAGAAAATCGTAAATTAGCTGAAGAAGCAAATTTAAAAGCAGAACAAAATAAAAAGAAGATAGAGGAAGTAAGAGGGGAAGTAAGACCACTGAGTAGACAGATCAATGAACAGCAAGCTTATCTGTCCATGGTGGAATTGAAAAATCGGGAAAGCAATCTGAGGCTGAGAAATATACCAGAACTTGAGAAAGAAGATTTGATTGGTTTCTTGACAGCAGAAATATCAAAGTTCTGGGGTCTAACAGAAGAGAAGGACTTCAAAATTGTCACCGCCTTCAGATTGGGAAGAGTGGCGAAGAAGGACAAACCAAGAGATTGCTTGATCATCTTGAGATCTAAGCAAGAAAAAGATAATATACTCGGCCTACACTTCAAAAACTCATTGGTGATCCAGGGAAAGACAGCAGAAATCTTCAGAGATATACCGAAACAATTGTTGGACTTAAGAACCACATATAACGACCTTGCAGGTCTATTGAGAAACAACACAATTCCTTATAGGTGGGAATTCCCTCAAGGACTATCTTTTAACTTTAAAGGGGAAAAAGTAAGAATTAGAACAGCAGAGGACCAAGAAAAGTTCCTGAACGACCACGGGGAGGACCTTCGGAAAGGAGTAGCAGGAGCTTGGCCACCACCTCCGCTTGGCTCAACACCTGTCCCACCTCCAGACGTAGACGACAAGGGAGACACCCCTATTGGTTGACAAATTGATTCAGGATGTCTCTGCAGCTTCTTAGTTGGAACATTCATGGTGCAAATTCCCCCGAGAAAAGAAAAAGGATCTTTCATATATTGAGGAAAGAACAATTGGACATTATTTGCCTGCAAGAAACACATGTGACTAGGCTCCATAGGAGAGTTTTAATTAATAAAAGACTAGGCCAAGAATTTATTTCATCAGATAAGGTTAAGAAAAGAGGAGTAGTGATTTATGCAAAGGAGAACCTGTCACCAAAGTTTTTGTTTAAAGACGAACAAGGAAGAATTTTAGCGATTGAAATACAAACACACGGAGAAAAATTTTTGGTAGTAGGAATATACGCACCAAACGAGGGGAAATCGGAATTTTACAAAAAGCTGCATGAGATAATGCTGGACCATATTGACTATACTAACATCATTCTGATGGGAGATATGAATGGGGTGGTCTCCACCTATATGGATAAGTCACAAAACCAAAACTTAACTAAAGATGGCAGACTACCCAAAACTTTCTTTGAACTAACAGACAATATGGACTTGACTGACATATGGAGGACAAAGAACCCATTAGGTAAAGAAGGGACATTCTTTTCTGAGGCCCACCTATCATGGACAAGAATCGACCAAATCTGGATAACTAGAGGACTGGCACCTAAGACTAAAAAAATAGAGATCTGCCCCAAAACTTGCTCCGACCATAACGCCTTGAAAATGGAATTGAGACTTACACCAGCTGGATCCTTTAGATGGAGAATGAATGACACCTTGTTTAGAGATCAGGAGATTGTGAAGAAGGCCCAAAAAACGTTGAAGGATTATTTTGAGATAAATTTGAACACTTCGGTGGAAAAGAGAACAATCTGGGACGCGAGTAAAGCAGTTATGAGAGGGTTTCTGATTCAACAGAATACTATTAAGAAAAAACTCTGGAATGGGAAAAAAGATAAGATACTAGAGAAGATAAGAGATGGTGAAAAGAGGCTTAGACTTAATCCAAAGTCAAAAGAAGTGTTAAGAGAAATTAAATTTCACCAAACACAATATGCGAAATTGATAAACCAAGAAGTTGAATGGAAAATTAAACAAATGAGACAAAGATCGTTTGAATCAGCAAATAAATGTGGAAAACTATTAGCATGGCAGTTGAAAAAGAGACAAAAATTGAACTTTGTTACCAATCTGGAGGTTGAAGGAGAAAGTATCCAGAAACCAGAAGAAATTAGAAAGTGTTTCCAGAGATATTTTAAAAAATTATATACTCAAGGACCTCAGGCAGAGACTGAGATAAGCCAATTTATAAAAAGTAATGGACTGCAAAAATTACCACAAGACAAACAAACAACCGTGAATTACAGAATAACACAGCAGGAAATTGAAAGTGCCATTCAGAATATGCAATTAGGCAAATCCCCAGGCCCAGATGGACCTCCAAGTATTATAAGACATTAAAGGACTATTTGATCCAGCCACTAATGGAGGTATGTAATCTAATTATGGAGGGGAAGGGGGCACCAGAATCGTGGAAAGAAGCTTTCATCACTTTGATACCAAAATTGGAATCTGAAAAGACTCAACTTAAGAACTACCGTCCCATCTCACTTCTGAACGTGGATTACAAAATTTTTGCTGATATTTTGGCAAGTAGATTTTAAAAAGTTTTAAATGAAGTAATTCATAAAGATCAAGCAGGCTTTCTCCCTGGTAGGCATTTGTCTGACAATACTAGGAATATTATTGACGTTTTGGAGTTACTGCAGACAAATATGAATACGAAGGCAGTGTTAATTTTCATAGATGCAGAGAAGGCCTTCGACAATATATCTTGGAAATTCATGAAGAGAAACTTGGAAGGGATGGGAGTGGGAAGGGCGTTCCAAAATGGTATAGAAGCAATCTATTCAGAGCAAAAGGCTAAATTGATAGTGAATAATGTGGTGACAGAAGAGTTCAAAATTGAAAAAGGGACACGACAGGGGTGCCCCTTATCACCTCTGTTATTTATCTCTGTCCTGGAGGTGCTGCTGAATTTGATCAGGAAGGACCAGCTGGTGGAAGGAATACAGGTCGGAGGGAAACAATATAAATTGAAAGCTTTTGCAGATGACTTGGTCTTAACATTACAGGAGCCAGAACCTAGTACAAAAAGAGTTTTAGAATTAATTCATGAGTTTGGTCGGGTGGCGGGATTCAAGTTGAATAAACAAAAAACTAGAAGGAAACGCA